TTCAATTGGACAAAACTGATGTATTTTCTGCGGGAACGGGTAAAAATCACGATGAATTCATGATATGATTGGACAAAAACAATCATGGATTCATGAGCGCGTAAGACCGGTAATGTACCGACAAAAAAGGCGACCTACATTGCAGACAACCATGAGTAGCTCGACGCACCCATTCGCGTGGTACGTCGGACGTCCTTATCACCAGTAGTCGTAGTACCTACATAATAATCACCTTTGTCGACTTCTGCAGCGATTTAAGTCTAAGCTTTCGCGATAAGATGGACGCGCAGAACGTGTTGCAGACTCTTGAAGTGGATGAGGAGCTGCAACCAAAGGATATTTACCGTACAATGATCGTCACGGGGACTGAGCTTCATGTGTATGTTTATTTGCTTAGCTATGATTCGATAAAAGTTAAAAATTTGTGACGATTGTGCTTCCTACATTACGTTGTAGCCACTTCGAGGCCACCGAAATTCGTCTTTTACGCGCCGCTGTCTCTTCCTTTTACGACATGAGCCTGTTGACTGCCAGAACGCTGTTGGAGTTTAAGGAGTTTGAGGAGTATAACGAGTGAGTGAGTGAGGCGAAATGGCCAGAATACTGTTGCACAATGGTGGTTTTTGCGTGTTCACATGTGGGGTTGAGCAAAGACGCGTTTTTTAACAATATTGCATGCACTCAAATTCTGAGTACGTTTCGTTGCTGAGTATTTGAAACATGGCCATTATTTCGAACTTCGTGGCGTTTATGTAACAAGTGTTTCCACATTTTAAAGTCAAGAAATCGTTTTCCAGTAGCTATGCCCGTGCAATACAGTGTTACAATAGATGATGTACAATAGAGAAAGCGATGAGCGTTACAATAGATGATGTATGATGTACATCATCTATTGTACATCATCTATTGTAACACTCATCGCTGTCTCTGAGGGTGTCTAGGTGGTATGCTCGTTGCCTTTTTATGCACAGGTTGAGCGAAGGGCACGTTTGATTTAAACACGTGTATTTAACACGTTCCTTTCCAACTTATTAAGGAAACAGTTGGACCCCTTTATAAGGAAGACGTCATGTCAGGATTACTATTAAAACGGGTATTAACTTACACGGGTCTTGTTGTGTAGTACGGTAACAATGCAAAGTGGTCAGGCAAGGTCTGTGAACTGGACTGCGGCTTAGGCCCGAATTTATAAGCCGTATTGACGTGAAGCGCAGCTGCTTCACGCGCTGCTGTTACCTGTAACATCAACAAGAGCGAATTTGTAATATTTGTCATCATCAAGATGGAGCTCTGAGCTCATAAATTCTGGACAATGTGATACGCTTGGCCTTCCGATCAAGACAGTCGAATAAAAACGATACAATATAAGTTTTCGTGGCAAGAAGCTCGTCAATGAGACTGAAGAGCGAAACGCTTCCAGCTAAAGCACGGTATAAACTTAAGGGTATGACCGTTTCCTAGTTTTCGTCACAACGGCCCATTTGGTACAATATTTGCATGATATCCCTATCACACATAATCTTCTTATAATGATATCTTCTTGATCTGCTGCTTTTGATGAATTTTTCCAGACGGATCCCAAGTGACCATTAGAACAAACGAGTTTAACAATTACGAACTTGGGATCATATCAATGTGCTCGTTTGCAAGTTCGTAGCAATCACAGCAACTTTGCTTAATTCCAAATTGGCCATCAAAGGCTTACGGTGTCTATGTGTTTCGTGTCATTTTTAAGTAAGAGATTGCTTGCTCGCTAGCATTGATGAAATCATAACATTAAATGACAGTTTTTAATTGAAAGTACCTTGATTAATAAATTGCAGATTATATGAACGACTATTAAAAAGGATGGATTATTCCGCGATGAGTTCAATCTAGACAAAGCAGGAAAAAAATCGTAGCGAGGTCACTAGAAAGGGCGGATTCAAAACCCGGTTTTTTTAAAGGCTCTCGGTTTCGCTCTGGGTGGAACTTACGATCCTATGCGTTAATGAGCGCGGATTTGTCGAATTAAAGCTTCCGATTGCCCGACTTTGCCAGGAAGTGCAATGTTATAGAACGATGCAAGATACACTAGCGAAGCATTAAACCTTGCAACAATTCTTACCTTCACTGTCTATCAAGTTTTACCTCACCGCTGAATATACAGGTCTTTAACGGCCAATATCATGGCCCATCTTGATGTGGTCAGCGTCACTGTTATCGGTAAGGATACAGTCAAGCTGTTGCCGAAAGAAGATGCTTCATTTCTATTCCACTTATTCACGAATAACGCTTCCATTCGTATGTGTTGCGACTTCCCTTGCGATTTTGATGGCGCCCACTTGATTGAGAGTTTAAGCTCTCAAAGCTGCCGTTTCTCGTCCAACACCGTGCATGATTACGGAAAAGAAGTTGCGGGGGGATTCACAATGATAGTAACCAAGAAACAAGAGGCACGCGCGGCAATTGTCGTCATTTTGAGCGATTTCCAGCTTGTCACTACGACGATTGCAATGTCAACATGGACGACTCTCGACAGCTTTCGTTGGACGCAAACATGGCAAATGAGCTATAGCCTAGAGAGAATTTGCGCGATTTAAGCTAACTGCATACTCTGTTAGCGAGCATGTTATGATAGTGAAAAATGCCGCATGTGTTCCGAACAAGGAAAACGTATGAGCTGTAATATTGCGAAGTCTACCTGTGAGCTACGATAGCATTGTTCAGGGCGTTTCTCATGTTCATTGAAAGTTACAGTACTGCTAACCTCGTCGGAGATGGGATTGTTAAACATGCATGTCAGCAAGAGTCATTGCTTCTAAATGAAGCGACCTGGATAAATTGTGCGCTGGCACATAATGGATAAACAGCACGGGCGAAGGATCAAGCCTTTTCTATCAGCTTTCTACGGCTGCAGTTAGTCGGGCTGCTATGCGCGAGATACCGTGCGGGTGGGCGCAATTCGGATACGTACCATGACCAGTCAAACGTTGCATTTTGCGACGCGGAAGAATTAAACTTCATGCACAGGTAATGGCTGCAAAGATATACGGACTACACGGATACAACAATGCCACGTGACATCTCAAGTGCCAAGAGTGGTTCGAAGATAAAGCTTCTCGGTTACGGTGCAGTGCAGCAGCATGCCCGGAGGGTAGACTTGCGGATGAGAATGCACATCAGAACACCCTATTATTCGAAGACCTGATCATAAAAACTGTAGGCGAGGAATGTCGTGCAATTGCCCGCAAACGAACGTGCAATTAAGCGTCGTGACGCTATCGGCCATAATAAGGTTTGCTGGTAAATCTCAAACATACGTTGGAATTATATACTGGTGCAGATCTCTGGCATCGACACTTGGGTAAGGCACACTGAGGATTGAGGATTGATAGAGTTAGTCAATGGGCGGCACAGAGGTAGCACCAGCAATAATATGCAAGGTGTGCAAATACGTCAAGCAAGCGTTGAAGCTTTCTTAGAGCGTATGACCGAGCATCTATGTCAGGGTATCATGTATGCGACGGATTAAGCTTAATGAAGAACTGCTACTTGAGTGGCTACCCAGCTCGCAAGAAAAGCGATTTCTTATACGAAATTGTTTAGCGTTCCGTCGAAGTAACAGCGGAGGAGATTATTAAAATGCGGCAGCTGATGCTTTCAGCAGAAGCAGTCGTTTTAAGCAAGAGTTTATGGTACGATATGAATTGGAGCAGAAAGGGATGGCTGAGCCAATTAATCGGATGCTTGTGGAGATGACTCGGTGAAAATATGGTGTCAACAAGGCTTTCTGGTGCTGGCCGATGCTGAAAGGGGCTGACATCCAATGATCTGCCAAACTCTGCATATAATCGCACGATCACATTTGGAATGACCTATTGTAGGGAGCCAAACATGTTTTTTATATCTCAGCACAGAATGTCTCGAGCACGTTCAAGACGATCGTTCACATCGAGCACATGTGGATAGATAACATTAAGAGCTACGCTTACGTTGCAATGGCAAATCTCCAAAAGAGCGGAATGAAGGGCTACACGCCGAGCAGAGCAGGACATATCCTCTGAAGTGATGGATTGATTAACATTTCAACAAGTGTGTGACGTTTGCCGAGCGCTCACTGCCAGTCAAGAAAGAGAGGCGCTAGCAAGGTATCGAAACTATCGACTAATGTACGTTTATTCAGTAGACAGATTTCAACAACACCGACAGATCCACGCCAACCTCTTACGTTTAGGCACGACGGACAGAGTGGAATAGTTTCAGCGCGTGGGTCACGTAGTCCATAAGAAAAGGGGGCAATGAATGGTTAATGCGGGTTGCACGCAAGAAGCGAAGCGTTGTGTGCTTTGAGCAGAACTCCTTATTTGAGTTATTTCAGGCTGGACGACGTCGAAGGTTATCAGGATCGTTATATATATTCTACCTGAAAATATTTCGAAGAGGTGATGATGATCAAGTGCCATTGTGAATGGTTGTTTTTGTTGAAGAGTGAGCGAAACTTCCTACTGATTATAAGTGGACGCTCGCTGACTTGCCTATTAATTTAACATAGGAGCCAGCTGTTAGTGTTTTATCAAACAAGCTTGACCCAGCGGTATTATCATCCGTTAAAGGCTTGCCTGGTGGAAACGAATACACTCAGCGCTTTGTTGTCAAACTTTGACCCTTTAATGTGTGAGAAGTATGTTAACATATTTTCAAAATACGCTGCAATGGCTTGAGATCGTCAAGATGGATTCGGTATTTTCCCAGAAGTCCGAGACAGTATCTATACATGATTCAAACCAACAGATTTGAATGTGAAGAATATTAATATTTCCAAAATCGAGCTTCATGTCTTTTTCGGCTGACTCACGTGCTTACTTTCGTTTCTCGAAAGAGATATGCAGCATGTCAGTATATACTGGACAACCTAATGTTTTCGGCAAGACAACGCTCAAAAAGAAAGATATACAGCAATGATAAATTTATCATTTTATCATTTAGAATAACAGCTGCATTACAGTAGCCTCCCGCTTAAGTACGCACCCATTTAAGTACGCATCCCAGAGATGTACGCAATTTATTTCGGAAAAGACAGTTTCAAATTTAGTCCTTGAACATGTCGTGCAATTTCATTTGCCGGGCATTTTGCATTTTTTTGCGTGTGACTTTGATAGTGACCTGTCTGAGTTTCTGTTGAAAGGACTCAAACGAGGTCCTAAG